AAAAAAGGATAGCCATAAAAGATGAACAGAAAAATACAAATACGTGTATTACACCAATTATTTTTTTTCCTCAAAATCTTATTTTCTTATAGTTAGTGAGTTGCAAAGAGATAGTGGAGATAGCCAGTACATGGATTGCTGCAACGTACCCTTTCAGAATGAGAATATAATAAAGAGACATGTTACTATTTAGTTTACGTCACTCAGATAAAATCACAAAAAACAATACATGTGCATAAAAACATATTACACATGTTCACCTTGAAAAATGATAATTATCAGAAACTGCTCATAAAAAAGCTTTATTTTAGTTTCGGCAGCCATTTTGGGAAAAACAGGAAGTGAAGGTGTGTGTTTAGTTTTTGGAGTTTTCTTTCGTGCTTTCGGGGAAAAAAATAGAAATAAATAAAGTATGTAAAATTAATAGTTAACAATATTCAAACATTATTCTTTTGGCTGTTAAATTGTATTAAAATGAATATTGCATCCCCATAATTAAGCAAAATTTTATCCTGCTCATATATTATATTAAATTTTTTTTTTTTATTATGTGTGTGTGGAAGTTTGAGAACCTCTTTTGTCCGATACAGAAATTGACGATGCTGTCTTTTTTAGTTATATTTTTTTTTTATTAGATGTAAACGCAACCTTTGAAGTAAACGTATCTTCTTCACTGATTGTAAATTAATATGTACTCAAAGGGCTGCAACAGTTAGTGATGTCAGGGGCGCTCAAGTTAGTTGTCACCCTTCCCGACCCTTACGTTCCACAAAAACTACGATTTATCCGAAAATTGTTATAATGAAAAAAGCACCCCCCTGGTTGGGACCACACACCCCTTAGCACCTCCAGGTTAGGACAGCCCACACCCCTCTCCCTACGCTAGGGCTAACCAATCATGCCCCCTTTTTGACATATCTAACATCGTTTGTAAAAGAGGAATCATTTGTTCTGTACTTATGTAAACATAGATTAACAATTATTGTGTCGTTTTTTTTTTATATTTTAATTCCAAGATATTTCATAGATGTGCTGTAGAAATAATTGTGTTTCTTTTATTTTATAGCTTTGCATTGCAAAGGAAAAGCTCTTTTTTTTTTTTTTGTAAAGTTGTTTTTTTTTAATCAGAAGTGCACTCAGAGTTGCTGAAATGTGCTGAGTGAAGTCATAGCGGATATTAATTATCAAAATGTCTGACCACAACACACTAAATCAATTGACGTATTTCGTCTTTGTTTTTATGACATTTTTGGATTAATTATGATTTGTAGTGTTGGCTGAAATTAAATTATTATATTTTTAAAGATTTTATTTGTACGTGTAAGTTGTTGTGTTGGTTTCAGATGAAGGACAACATCACTGGCAAAGCTCTTAGTGTTTAAGTTACTAAAAAAGCTTGGGGACAATTTGCAAACATGAGTTTGATCAATGAGAATCAAAGAGATATTCTATGTGGTTAAACAATGCATTCCCCATTCCTTATCAGATTGCAACATCCCTTAAATTGAAATGTATGAACCACGTAGTTTGAAGAGGTCACTTTTGATTATTTTTTTTTTGTTTTACTTTGAGAACCACTCCTCCTGTGCCCGTCTTCTTAGCATTAAAGGTACTGAGTGCTGGTTAATCCCTCTTGTTTTGTGGACGTTTCATTGCTTGAAGTACTGATATAAAACAATTATTGCGTACAGATCTTTGGCTTGTGCTGTAGGTGGCTGCAATAGTGACATGAAATCAACTAGCACTACATCATTGACACCATTACAAGATGTTTAAATATCATGATGGAAGGACTGCATTCCAGCTATATGAATGAAACAGTATAAGAAGGTATGTAGAAGCTTGAAGCCATATAAGCCAAAATCAGCTTAGTGCACTCCAGGTAAACCAGACCAACAACAAAAGAGATCTCTAACGTTTTTTTTTTATTACCGTGCTCTGTTTCTTTTCGTATTTTCATTGGTCCTGTTCGCTGAAGAAGGCTCTGTGTCGAAACATTCACATCTTATCGTCCTGTCCTGACTTGTGATTCAAGCTTCACCATACCTTGTTCTACTATTTCACTTACAAGCGTTAAGAGCATTATCTTATCATAAATTCTTGATTTTTTTTAATTGACTTATTTTGTAATCATGAACATCTCCTCTTGTAAGTCAATGTTTTATAAACTCATATTAATGTGTTAATATTTTTGAATATTCTAATCATTTTCCCTAACATGCACCTATCTACCAGAGACACTTTTTTAATCTGTGTTAGATAAAGTTTTTAGCGTCCCAAAAGGAATGGATATCTTATGAGAGTATCTGTCATGTATGCAAGATTCCCCTCTTATTTACATTTAAAGGGATTAAAATAAAAATTGTAACACAGTATCCAGTAGATTTTAAAAAAAGGACTAATAAAGCCAAGTGTGTTAAAAAGTTTACCAAACGTAATATGTTGTCCTGCCCCGCAAGACATCGTTACGAGTCAATATTTGTTTGGAGGGATTCTTTAAGTGTTCAAAAAAAAATTATTATATTATATCCCCTTGATAATTTTCGTGTTTTTCTCTGAGTGATTTTATTGTGATTTCCATAATCTTCTTTTCTGAATGATATCAAACAAAATTAGATCTGAATGTTAAGTGAAGTATTATTAATAGGGGTGTGATTTATATAGGGCATCCTTCCGTCTTCGCGAGACGATGGAGTAGCTATGTAGCCCTACACTTCGACGAGTGGCTCACTAGGTCGATCCTAGAATGACGATCTCGACTGCATTTCTCGCAGGAGAATATTGATTCCCGGTAAGATTTTGACTTCCGTGTTGTTCTCTTTGTTGCAAGGGCCTCGTTTCGCCTTTTTCACTCCTTCATACGCTGCTGTTCGCCACCTGGAACGTTATTCGGCAATGAGCTCCCATTCGTTTTTTTCAATATTGACTTCCCTCATGCCCCTTTTTGCAAAAGTCAATAAGGGTATGATTTAATCTACTATTTAAATGTTCTATGCCGACCCCACTCACCTCCAATGCCACTCTCACTCGCACGATTCTATTAATAGTGTTACTATAAGACTATATGAACGCAGGTGGTTCAGCCCACGAGCAATAAATATTTAATTACTAGCAAAAAAAGAACTAAATGCATACATGGTATTACATATAACATAAACAACTACGTATACAGTATATTACTGATTGCTATATACTCTGGCTGGTTAGTGCTGGCGCAATAAGAATCAACCTAGAATTGGGCATCTTGTAATTTTCTAAATTCTAGGATATTCTATGAATATAAAATACATTCTTAGGGATGGTTTGATAACACGCGAATAGGGCGTTTTTGCGGCCAAGCTATAGGGTGATATTACGGCCAAGCTATCAGATGTCTGTTAGGCCCATTTATTAGAATTGTGCATCTTGTAAGCAATTAACCTATCTGCCAGAATAAAAACAGCACCTACAGGGCTTCCAGCTGTAACGATTTGCAGTTGGAAGTAAAAGCATAGGCAGGGTAGGGACCATGATTAGAGGTTGCCACTAATCGATATGAGGCGAGAGGCTAAGATGGAAGTCTCTGGCCGATGAGTCTGTCTACGCAGCCCTGAGAAAGCTGCTCCTAGGCAACCTTTTCGTCCCAGCTACTTCACCAAATTTAGTTGCGGGGTTTTAAACCCACTGTTGAAACCCTATTTAAAGGGCGTCCGACGCTATACGGGATAGGTGGGGGAAAGTATTGGGATGTAAATTTACCATCCCGTTTTCCTAGGAGAGTCGACCGTGTGCACTGTGTGTACGCACAATGTCGAACCAACCGGATGTCCTTAGTTTTCGGCGGCCTCCAGCAGAAACCCGATGGAGCAGACTCGGGTGGGGGCTGTTTGGGGCAAAGGGACGTCTCCAACGTGACGCTTCGCGGCCCGATAATCGGGCTTGCGGGGGGTGCTTTGGGGGAGGGCGTAAAGAGCTTTAGCTCGACGGCCCGCTGATGTCATTTCCTAATGTGATATTTCAGTAACCGATTTTCCAAATAATGTTAATAATAATAATAATAAAGTTTATTTGAAAAACAGGCTTCATCCCCAAAAGCTCGAAGCGCGGTACAAAGTCAACCATATTAAAAAGAGAAATAAAAACAATCTAAAATTTACCACATTTAAAAACAGACGCAACGATATAAAGCTACATATGGAAGAATGCTGCGGTTAGCGTGTGCAAGATATCTGTGTCAGAGAAAGGACAAGAGCTGTGCACCTGAAATGTATTGAACTCGAAGGGTGTTTGAATATGATATTCTCATGACTGTCCGTGCTCTACCCATTCATACGTAACTTTGAAATGCTGTTCCCACGTCTTGATAAAGCTGTCTATTCACAACATTCACAGGCTATGGCAATACAGGTTCATCTCTTAACCTTAGTAATAAAATGGATGTTGGCTACAAATCAAAGATAAGTTTTCAATTTTTAAGCACTCAAATTTATTTATTTTTGGTTATTAAGATTCAAATAGAGAAATAGTTATTAATTTAATTGTCATCTATAGCAAACAAAATCTATTGAAAAGATCTCCTAAAACTACAGTATTAATTCTCTTTTTCGATCTTACGATAAACGTAGAGTTGGGTGGAATATGTTTTGTATAAATGACTAGCGCGTGTAGCCATGCTTCTCTACGGGTCCGATGCTGTCATGTGACGGATCGTAACACGTGGTCTTAAAACGTTTGAAAGAAGTAATATAAAATCAATAAACGTTTGGCATCACAAAACAAATAATTGTTCTATACAAAGATTCAGTTACATTGCCTACAAAAATTAGCTTATGTCTCTGTGTGCATGAATTTTAAAACACATCAAAAGTGCCGTTAGTGCTGGGTGAAGGTATCATCTGATCACCAATTGCATGCTATGTAAATGTGCTCAGTTAAACTAAATTGCGTAGGAAATCGAGAAGCTCTTTGAATTTTTTTACAATGAAATTGTTCCCAAATGAAAAGAAAGACTCGCTCTTCCATTCGTTGGCCTTTTTTTCTACCTTCTCAACGTTTTGTTTTAAACCTCTCACTATTAACTCAGATGACGCACTTCTTTCTTGTTCTTTCCTCTCGAGCTCCTGTATTTGTGCATTGAGCTGGGAATTGTAGGTTTTAAGGTCTTTGTTTCGCCGAGCACGAAGATCCGCCAGTAATTTTTCCTCATTTTCCCTGATGCTTTTGTACTGCATGGCTTCCCGGGCAGCAATTATTTGATCGTCCACGAGCTTTACAATCTCCCGGCTGCTTAGAATTATATTTTGTAGGACTCCCGTGCATTTGTCCTGCTCTTTGACCTTTGTTAACAACGTGTCTGCCCTAGACTTAAGCGTCTCTAAGAGAGTCATCTGCTTTTCTGGTTCCCTTAGCTGGATTCTTCCAAGCTGTTGTAATATTAAGCTCGTTTCCATAACAGTTTCCTCATTAATAACCGGGACTTTAGATTCAACTAGCATCCATTCCCGCTCAAGCTGAGCCATTTTGAAATTTGTATCGGTGTACCTCAGCCCAAGGACGCTCACTTTGTCCACCATTCTTATTAGATTATCCACCTGTTCTTTCATCTTATCCAAATCGACTATTTTATTGTTAAACAATATCACTCTACCACGGACCTCGTCGACCAAAGTTTTAATGGGCCCACTCTGTCCACTGATCCAGTCCAAAAACGAAGCATTTTCATGTTCCTCAGGTTTATAGAGATCTCCGTGTGTTACGACAATGATACAGTACTGTCTTACAAACTCTTCACCAAAAATGTGCTTCAGTATTTTGATGGTTCTCTCGTCTTCCTTCGTATAGCGTTGTCCGAATTTGAAAACCAATAAAAACGCATGGTAGCCTTGAGGGCTCACGGCTATCGCTTGGTTCATGGAATCCATGATTTGAACCAAACCGTCCTCCTCACTCAAGTCAGTGTCTCCAACGCCTGGACTGTCCACGACCTTAATTGTTCTACCATTGTGGTCCGTGTACTCAAACTGTATCCATTTAGTCACTGATGTGAAACTGGATGTAGCCTTAAAAGCATTTCTACTTAGTATCGTGTTTCCAGTCGAGCTTTTTCCATATCCAGTGCTACCAATAAGGAGCAGATCGAGTTCACATGTCCTGTCTGCCGTCTTGGCAAGTGAAATCCTTGAAAAAAGATAAAACGCTACCACAAAAGTAGCTCTTAATATAGCAAATCTTTCCATCCTGCGTCTGAAAAAAGACACATGTAGAATACATTAGCCTAATAGTGTGTTCTAGCAATTGTTTGCATGTTTTTGAAAGGAAAAACTGTAAAATTTTCAAGGAGCACTTTTTTTATGATTTAATCAATGTTTCTTGTGAAGAATTTAAAAATGAAACAACAAAATCTCGATTTTTTTTTCCATGACTGTCAAAAGTATACGGTCACGTATTTTTTTTCTTCAGGTATGATGAATACACCTGAACTGCTAATATTTCTTTCTTACGGCACATTTTTCATAATGTTTAATTGAAGGTGTTATGGGAATCGCACTGATGACCCATGTCGGTAACACAATTTAAACGGTCATTGCCATCATAAGGTTAAATAACAACATAACTTACCTAAACACTAACACAAGGTCATAAAAACATGCTGCTCAGAATGTAACGACTACAAAATGCATGCAGTTAATATTCTGCACCTCCATAGAAACATGCCCTACATTCTGTCCGGTTGTGATTTCGAAACTAACGACATGGCCTTCTAGGTAGGCCATTGATTATTTTAACTCTGATGACAGACCATTTCCCTGTTTCGCGGTCCTGTGCTCACCTCTCCAGGTTGGTTCCAGGTGTGTGAATGGAAAATTCTTGTAGACGGCCTATGCCCAAGATGGGGTAAAGGGCATAAGCGAAGTAAGTGATAAGTGAAAGACCCCCCCCCCTTTCCAACCCTCCTTTGTTCAATTGTAAGACCTTATCTTGTCTCATTGCTTGTCTGAAACAGAAAAAAAATAATTAAAATTCATTTCTTTTTTATGTATTGTAATATAAATGTCTCGTTAGAATCCATAACCCTTTTAAAAATCCTTTAGGTCAACTTTACTTTTCTTCGTGGGTGGGTGGCTGGCAAAATCTTAGGATGTCTAAAGGATCAACTTTCCTTCGAACAGTCAAGCTGAAACTTGGCACATAAACTCGTTGCCGATGAAAACACATTCTGTCAAATTTTCAGCCCCACACCCCAAATGTTTTGCAATGGGGAATATGAAGGAACTGAAATTCTTTATTAAAAAATATAACGCACGTGCGTTATGCTTTCTTCTAATTTTCTGAAACAGTTGGTGAAATGAATGTGCGGCCCAAAAGTGGGTGGGTCATTAGAATATTAATATAGTACAGGGGCTTCAAAAACAAATGTGCAGCTATCAGCTTTAAGTGGGGGAGCACTAATTGGGATTCTTATAAAGGGCGTTATTTGTATGATTGTTTATCATATATTTAGCCCCCCCCCCCCCCAATGCTCGAAGAATATTAATATAGTAAAGGGGCTTCAAAAACAAATGTGCAGCTAATAGCTTTAAGTGGGGGAGCACTAATTGGGATTCTTATTAAGGGCGTTATTTGTATGATTGTTTATCATATATTTAGCCCCCCCCCCCCCAATGCTCGATATTACATTTTATAAAGGATTTATACCAAAAAAACTTTTTTCTAGGGTTTGTTCAATTTTGTACTGCATTTAAGTCATGCACCACTTGATGATGTTTTACTGGTGTTTTATTCATGTTTTTGTAAGCGTTACTTCTAATAATAACAATAAGCTAAAATCGAAAATATCGTTCTATTTTGATCAATTGAGATGTCAGTTTTGTTTTAATTTTTTACATTTCATTTTAACTTAAAAAAGAAAACAAAAGTAACACTTAAAACTTGAAATAATTCAATATAATGTGCATGGTCTTTTGGTCATACTTAGTCATTAAAGATACATTTCAGTCTGGTTTACATATATAATCCCCTCCCCCTTTAACTTCATCCTTACCAGAAGTTGGTTCTTAATTTAGTCTGAGTCTGCTGTATTCAGCTGGATCAATCCCAATTACATAACGTTTCACAAAATTAACCAACAGTGACAGCACGTAATTGGCGGCCTCAATCGCATTGCTTATCAGCCCACCACGTCCGTGCTTCTGCAACTCATTTCCTTGTTGATGTCTCCGAAAAAAAGTCTATTCGCTGTTGAATGATTTCATCGATTTCATGATTTCACCCCATTCAGTACGCCTGTCCTCATATATTGTTTCTTTATAGTTATCAATAGTTCAGATAAGATGGTTTTAAGGCCATGAAATAGACTTAACTGTGACTCTGGTTTATGTGACCGAATATCGTTTAGCTGTGAATTACGAGATCAATCCCTTTCTTAACTTCCAACTCGATGACAGAGAGTTTGGCTTACACTAAATATTTTTGACGCTGAAATCTACCCTGATTAAAGTGGTCGACAGTATACCTTGAATTCGTGCCACTTATCTTGTCAACAATATTTATCAATTGCTCAACTTGCACCTTCCTCTTTGACTCATCTTTTTGTTTTTTTTATTATCAAACAAAACAACACGACCACCTAATTTCTCCTTAATTTCCTTAAGAATACCGTTTTGCGTGCTTATCCAATTTGAGAATGATTCAAAGTTATTCCCTTCAGGGTCATACAAGTCTCCGAATGTTACTACAAGGACCCCATACCTTGTCAAGTATCCTTCACCAAAACATTTGTTCAAAGCTTCAGAGGTTAGTTCATCTTCCTTTGTAAGTCATTAACCATACCGAAAGACAAAAAGAAATGCGTGGTAGCCTTGAGGAATATCATGCATGGCCTTACTCATATAATCAAAGTATACTGGTAAGTACTCTGTCAGACTGAGGCGACTGTCTATAAAACCAGGACTATCAACAACTGTAAGTTTTCTACCATAGTGATTTGAATCAACGCCTTTGTTCTCTTTTGTAAGAGAATACACGCCTGATGATGTCTCCAACAACCTTTCACCAAGAATTGTATTTCCGGTTGCACTTTTGCCACTTCCAGTTTTTCCAACGAGCAGAAATTTGAGATTTGTTTTTCTTTTATCCATTAAAACTGGTTGGGTCTTAACAAGTAAACACAGGACGATCCAAAATAGCGAAATATTTTCTTTATGCATTTCGTTTTCCGTTTTCTGAAATTATCATTAATTATATAAGTCACGTTTAGAGTTTAAATTAAGTAGGAGTAATGTTTATATAATATATATATATATATATATATATATATATATATATATAAATTGCAAGATATGGACAACTAGTATACAAAGAAAAGCGATACCAAGGCTAGTGATATTAATAATAATCAATTCAAATCTATTATTAAGTTGATGTAAAAATACTAAATAAGATATACCGATATACAAATAAAATTTTAGTTTACAGCATAGCAAGTGAAAGTATAATGCTAGAGGGATACAAATATTAATCCACATACGCACTGTAATATGGTAAAAAAAATCGTGTAAGTTTGTAGGGCTTCTATAAGGCTGTTACGTTTCATAAGTCTGTCTCACAGTCAACCATTGTATTCTATACTGAGAGAGTCAGAACACTCCAGAACAGAAGGTCTGGAAATTTATTCGCCCTATATATTTCTACTTATCTTGAAGTTACTAATACAATGGTCTGTCATACAAAATATGTCCTCCATTACAATAGCACTACCTTATTTTTGTTATAAAATTTAGTGGAATCCACATTGCAACTTTATTTTATTTCGAAGCCATAATTACTTTTAAATACAGCCATACGAAGGTTATCTGTTCATGATTTTAGTTGCTCAGTTGTAGGGAGGTGGAATCATCTAAACAAGCAATTCACTTATGCTTCTGTCTCAAATGAATATGATAAGGGTCTGGTTTGAGAATAGATTATACGCAATTTGGTTTACGATGAGGAAGAAATGTTTCTTTGCAGATAATTTTCAGGGCTGTTGAGCAATTTCTTATTATTATATAGTTTCATGATGGGGCTGGACAATAATTGCAGAAATTATTAATTGGTGTGGTGTAGTGATTCGAATTTTAATAACCAATGATCGTATATTGAAAACATTATATAAAATCAAATAATTTAAGACAACAAAATTGTTACATCAAAAATAATAATTTTAGTCAAAAGACAACAAATGAAGCCCTGCGATCAAGTTGTGAGAATAAAATAGTAGAACAATATTTTTTTTGGTGGAAGCTTGAATTAAAAGACAGGATGGTAAGATAAGAACCATATTTCTAAAAAGTCTCCAAGAAATTAAAGCATATTTCATAAGTTCTACACCAACGACGGGACATAACACTCATGCTTTATCAATGTTATCTTTAACAAAATAAATCATTTTATTAAACCATACGCCTAGTTATTGACAATGTGTAAATTACATTTTTAAATCAGGATTTGAACTAATATCCAACCAAACGCTGCAAAAGAGTTTTTATAAGGTCCCACGACGACGCATGCTTTATTTTCGTATATTCATTATTAAGTTCATCCAACTCGTTTTTGAATGTTTCTACCAAGTATTCCAGCTCGTCTTGCTTGTTTTCAACTTCCCTTTTCAGATCTTGTATCTGCTGATCCATTTTAGCAACGAGCTTGTCATTTTTGTTCTTAAGTTCACGTTCTCTTACAGCCTTCAATTCCTCCATCGTCTTTCTGTGTTCATCGCTTGCAGCTTTTATCTTGATGGCTTTTTTGACGTCACGCATTTGATCTTCAACTGTTTTAACGATGTTCTTACAATTTCCAATCACTTGTGTCAGGGCTCCAGTGCACTTATCTTGTGCCTCGACGCTTTTCAGCAGCGTGTACGCCCTGGTTTTGAGGGATTCTAAACTTTCCAACTGCTTCTCTAGGCTCATTAGCAGAATTTTTTGAAGCTGTTGTATGATCAAACTGGCTTCCCTGGTGCTCTCTTCCTGTATGAGGGGAAGTTTGGTTTCCACCAAGATGGTGTCGCGTTGATGTTTGGCCTTTAAGAATTTCTCACCGGTGTACCTCTGTCCGTGAAATTTAAGTTGATCAATCATTTCAATCAGCTGGTCGACCTGTTCAGTTCTGTTGACCTCGTCTTTGCATTTGTTGTTAAAAAGTAGTACTCTTCCCTGGCATTCGTCTGTCAAATTTTTCAGCGGACCTTCTTGTGTATTGATCCACTCAGAGAACAGTTCGATTCCAGTTTCTTCCGGGTCATAAATGTCTCCGTAGGTTACAACCAAAATACAAAAGTTCTTCACGAAGTCCTCTCCGAAAATGTGTTTCAAGACTTTGATGGTCTGCACGTCTTCCTCAGTGAAGCGTCCGCCGTAGCGGACCACCAGAAGGAACGCATGGTAACCATCAGGATTAGCAGCCACTGCATAGTCAATGGCATCGATGAAAGTAAGGATAGCTTCCTCCTTGCTGAGGTCAGTGTCTCCAATACCAGGGCTATCCACGACCTTGATAATTCGACCGTCGTGATCAGTATAATCGAAATCGACATCTTTTGTCATTGATGTGGAATTTGGGGAGGTCTGAAAACTCTTTTTACCCAGAATTGTGTTTCCAGTGGCACTTTTGCCATTTCCGGTTTTGCCAATAAGAAGCAGGTCCAGATCTTGTTCTCCTCGTTCCATTTTAATGTGATGTATCATTGAAAGAATGCATACAGTTATGAGGAAGATGTTAATCTCCATTATAGTTTTATTTATCTAAATAGAGAAAATAAACAATAAAAAAATTAGATCATTGTATTTACCCCAAAAAAATTTTATTAAAAGTGAAAACTACATCATTAAGGCAAAAGTAGGAGCAAGAAATCAGTAAAAGATTTGAATTTTTTAAAAATATAACCCATAGATCGATAAATTATTGATGTATTGGCAGGATTGATGAACTGATAGATCAATAGATGAATGCGTGATCCTTGAAAGAAACAAAATATTTACTTCTTTAGTTCTTTTGCTAGATGTATTGATATAAGCTTACTAATGAAGTAGCCCGATCACGACAAACAACTAAAATGTGACCAAGAATGGTGTAAATATTGGTAAATAACACAGTACAAATACTATGTGCTGGGAGACAGAACGTTTAATCACTCTCCATTACATCACTGGACTTCCGTTCTTAACATGTATAATAATATAGGTAAAAACGTGGATTACATGGAATGCTAGAAATAATTTATAGCTTATGTTAAATATATATATCTAAATATATATTTAAACCCATCTCCAATTGAAAAACAGTTGTTTTTTTTCAAATTCAATAAACTCCACATAGTGACTCGAATACGTTACATTTTCTTGTTAAAGCATTGTTTCAATATATAAATAAAATAAAAAACTAGTCTTCCAGTGTTATATATTCATTCGACATGCACTGGGCTTTACCAAAAAAAAAATTACTTGTCATTGCTGAAGAAAACTGGTCAATGATTTGACGTCACATGCAGTTTCTTCTCCACGCAACGCCTTTTTTTTCTTATTTGAGGGCCCATTCTGGCTCCTGGTTGGAATTCAGAGTTTGCCTTCTCTTACATGTTGGGATTTCGGCTTTGGTGGGGATTGAACTCCAGGCCACCAACTTTTTAGATCGAGTCATTTAGACCACTCGGTCACCCAGCTTTATCAAAACGATCACAACTTCGCTCTTGCATCATGGCGGCTATCAATAATTAAAAATAAAAAAAAAGATTTATCGTGCTGAAGGACTACTCTATAATATAAGCTTACCATATTTTCTAGATGCCAAATAAGACACAAAGGCTCACATCATCCAGAACCATAGCAGTGGGGTGGGGGTGCTGTGCTTGTTTGACACAATCCCCCCCTCCAAAACTCGTACGTACAAGAATGTTTTAGCACCCATCCCCATAAAAAAGACCCACAAAAAATCAAATAATTTAATAGATAAATGTTACTGCAATAAATAATAAAAATGTGTTTTGGATTTATTCCGCCGACAGTTTTGCCAGCCCGGCGGTCCCCATAATATTCGCAGCAACACTCTGGGTGCCATGTTGTCCTCGGGCAAAGCCATGAGAATAGAGCAAAGAGGGCTGTCACAGTGGGCACCAAAATCTTCCATGGATAGGATCTTAATGATGAATTAAAATATCAAATCCCACTTTAGAAAGGCGGGGGGGGGGGGCGCCAAAAATCGTATTTTTTACTGATCCGCCCTGGGAGCAGTTTTTCTATATATTAAGTGGCACTATTTTCCGGCTTCGCTCTAGGTTCAGCATTTCCTCCGCAGCGAACAAACAATAGTAAAAACAAAATAAAATTAAAATAGCACTTAATTGAATAGAAGTATCCAAGAGTGCGGCATAAAAATGATGAAAACCTAAATTTGACATAAGCGCCAGAAATCGAAACATTATAGGAACTTCTGAACTAGCACAATGCATATACGATGGACGAAATATTATTGTAATACTGGTTCTACTGAGAACTACTGAAGCGATATCCAGCTAGTTCATTTGTGAAAAGAAATGGCAACATTGTGACGGTAATTCCTACACAACATGGCGTGATATTTTTACAGCATTGAAGATATAAATATGATATTTTTTGGACTGTCAGAAAGAGCTCAAACTATTCACTGCGCTTGCCTTTGCGAAGAAACAAGATAAGACAAACTGAAATAGGACAAACAAGTCATCGCTGCCAAAAGTGCGGACCAGCCGGACGACGAGAGGAAAGTACAGACGAATACGGACTCAAAAAATGGTACGGACAAGTTCCGAGACAACGGGGTCGAAAGTACAAACTGTCCGTACTAAATTCGGACGTGTGGTAACTCTACTATAACAGCTATAGAAATGACCATGGTCAGTATCATCTGAAGAGATACACGAATATTTAGATAGTAACCTTAAACCCCAATACTGAACATGAAACTGAAGAAATTAACGTCTGAAAAACTTAGGTCTCTTTTTGTACAACCCGTCCATTCGCAATGATAGAATACAAGGACAACACACTCGGCGAGTTATTGTTGAGCCCTACTCGGTAAATTAGCTTTAAAGTTGTTTTTCTTAAGGATATACATGAGCACCTACTTTCAAATATTATGCGTAAAGTACCATTGCCCCAAGATTTCAGGGAATGTAGTAGATGAATTTTATTTTGACAAAACATTAAAAGATACATTTTAATAGAATATGATGTAGAAAAAAAATATATTTCAAAGATACCAAATTGACTAAATTCCCAATAAAATGTATATAATGTCTTATAAAAAAATTATGTAAAACTTTTTGACAAGACATCTCTATGGCATAATTTATTTATAAGTCGCGGAGAAATTTAAACGATGTAATATAATCCAGTGCATTCCACAGGTCATTCCACAGGCCTCGACCAAGAGACTTTAACATGGAGAATGCAGAGTGGTCCTTAACACTTTTAAATTCTTCCACAAGATTTTCATATGAGAATTTTAAATTTTTGAACATTTGCTTGTAGGTGTCGTCTCCCTTTTCCGCAAATCCATTCTCCAGGATGTCTATTTGCTGCGTTAGTTTAGTGACCAACTCATGGTCCTGATCCTCTCGCGCTTTCTCTCTGCCTTCTTTCAGCTCATCAATGTCCCTCTTTGCCTTCTCCATGTTTTCTTGAATCTCCAGTGTTTCATTCACTGCATTCATGTGGGCAAGAACGTTCTGCACAATGTGCTGGGTATTTTCAATGATTGCCTTCAGGGCACCAGTACCTTTGTCTTGTTTCATGACACTCTGAGCTAATGCATCGGCTCTATACTTCAGTGCATCCAACTGCTTCAGTTGTTTCTTTGGTTCGTGTGATTGAAGATTACCAAGTTGTTGTAATATTAAGCTAGTCTCCCTCAAGCTTTCCTCCCGAATCATTGGTAGTTTTGATTCCACCATCATTCTTTCACGCTGGTCCAAAGCCATCTTAAAATGGTTGTCGGTATACCTCAGCCCCAGGACGCTGAGTCTATCCACCATGGTCAACAGCTGGTCAACCTGGGATTTTTTCTTGACCTCGTCTTTACATTTGTTATCAAATAATATCAACCTGCCACCGCATTCCTCTACTAAAGATTTCAAGGAGCCTGCTTGTGTCTTGACCCAATCAGAGAACAAAGCGATTCCAGTTTCTTCCGGGTCATAGGTGTCTCCATGTGTAACTACCAGAATACAAAACCTACTGAGTAAATCGTCGCCAAATATCGTCTTTATGAAATTAATAGTCTTTTTGTCTTCCTCGGTGAATCGAGAACCAAAACGAACAACCAATAGAAACGCGTGGTAACCCTCTGGGTTAAGGGCTATGGCAGTGTGGATGGCGTCGATGAATAATTTCAATCCCTCTTCCTGGCTAAGATCGGTATCGAATATGCCCGGGCTATCTACGACTTTGATGGTTCGATTGTTGTACTCGGAGTAATCAAACTGAGCAGTCTTCGTCACAGAATTAGAATCTGGTGAAGTGTCAAAACTTTTCTTGCCCAGAATAGTATTCCCGGTGGCGCTTTTGCCGTTTCCAGTTTTACCAATGATAACGAGGTCAAGGTCATTTTTTCTTTCATCCATGAGTACGTGCCTAGCTGTTATAAGGACGAAAAAGATGGCAGCAATGCTATTTTTCTCCATTTTAGCCCTGCTCCTCAAATGATGCCTGAGAGTTCTAGACACAAAGAACAAAAAAATGTTAACCACCCGTTGTACAGTGATCATAATGTATCATAAGTTAACACACACAAGCAATAAGACTAAGTTGCAGAAATTGTAAAACAAAATAAAGCTCGATAGAATAAATTATCAGTATATATATATATATACAGAGAGAGAGAGAGAGAGAACTCGTGCATTCTCGTTTCGGTATTTTATTCACAGATCTTCGAAATTTGTAAAAATCCTAAAAAATCCTGCAGAAGTATTTATGTTTAATTTCTCAAAGTAATTTATAACTTTTCATGCTTTTATTTCTAAAATCGATAAGAAATTTCTTTTTAAAATGAAAATTGTATTCTTAATTGACGCATAACCCCACAGCCTCGATAACCAAAGTTGAAGCATCAGACAAAGATACGTGAGTCATTAAATTTACAGTTCCATTCTTTACTTGGTTTTACCTCACTGTGAGTGCAAAAGATAACGGCATCAAACACATTAGTAAACTATAAGGGTAACATTTGTACACCATGTTGTGTAGTGTAGCAGATAGCGTGTAGGTGATACAATACTCTATTTGTAAGTCATAATGTTGTTTTTTGTTGTTGTTTTTTCTTCTACGTCAACTTTTTTAAGGGTAATTTATTAAGCTAACTTTTATATGGAATTAAAGTGCATTGGGGGCAACCTTTGGGTCATATTCAGAGTTTATAGTCTAGAAATAAGAATTTAGTTGCAGTTTTGGTACTTATACCAAACATTCACTGATCCGTGACAGTTTCTGGAACGTAACTGTATATGGCAAAGAGCATTCACTGAATGGCTGGGTTTTTTTTTCATTAGCGAAATCATTTAATGTACCGTAGATTTGTTGTGTACAAATTGGTTTATTTATGTGCTGAAAATGTAAAATTCAATCAAAAGACATTTCCTTTTGTTTTGAACAATAAAACAATATTATGCATATATATATATGAAAGTATGACCATGTGTTACTCAAGTAATAAAGGAAGACATTATGTGCTCCTAATTTCCTGCTAATGCGAAGTCTCAACATCTAGTTATCCCCCTTTTTACTTATGTAGTTAAATCGGATTTTGAAATTTCATATTCTCAAAACAAAACACAAAATACAAAAAGACAAAAAACCTTTTTTTTTTTTTTTTGCCACCCCCTTCAAAATTATATTTTGCAAATAGTAAAGCTAAATTTCCATACTTTATAGCAGATCTGTATAGAGACATTGAAGTTATAATATCTTTGGAATATGAGACATTTATTTTTTTTATATATTATAAAAGATGCATGTCTATTTTTTTTCCACACCCATTAACAAATAAGAAAACATAACTTCCTAAAATGGCTTCTAATTTAAAATAAAATATGAATGTCAGTTTAAACATTTGTAGCCGTAACGTATTTGATTAAATCAATAAAAAAATGTACACAACCTTCTGGCTCGCTCCGGAACTAAGTGTAAAATACACAATGCCTGTTTCTGAAGATAATAAAAGTTGTTGTTTTTTCTAAGTTATTATACATGCAAATATGTAAATATAAGCAAATATATTTTATTTTTATCATATTTCAATTGAATTGATTTGAAAAACCCATGTCATATTTTTGAAAGACATCTAGGGTATATTTATTATAATTTAATTTTTTGTTTAAGTTATATAAATGAACCTAAGGACATTTGGACGAATAAACAAGGACACAAGAGAGCTAAGGGCATATTGTAAGGTCAGTGGAGTGTGGCGTTTCGCGGTCTGTGCGTTGCATTTCGTTTCCTTTGTGCCGGCGGCCCACCCAACACAACCGAAAACGAAAACACCAAATAAAATGAAGGCCATTACATTACACACACTTCCAAATGAAGAAGATAAGACGAATCTAGACGTTTAAACAAATTGCAGTCATCAATATTTTACAAAACAGCACAATATGAGTTCAAAAAAGCGTAAATGTTTTGCGAATATTCTAATCTTATCGATACTGGCCGGGACTACAGCAGATAGAGATACCGAAGTAAATGTATCCATGGTATGATAATGCAGACTGAAAGACAGCCAGTTGAATCGATTCATGATATAACAGTATTGAATTTATATATATATATATATATATATGGAGATGTAATATATAATAAAACAGTATTGAATTTATATATATATATATATATATATATATATATATATATATATATATATGGAGATGTAATATATAATAAAACAGTATTGAATTTATATATATATATATATATATATATATATATATATATATATATNAGAGAGAGAGAGAGAGAGAGAGAGAGAGAGAGAGAGAGAGAGAGACATATATAGAGATATAATATAAAATTGTGTATTCGTACCTTTGAAAAAGGTCCAACTCAAACGTTCATGTGCATATCTTGATTTGAAAATACACCTGTAAGACAAAGTATGTGGACGAACAGTTCAGCTTCTTCTTACACACCTGTTCTGCTGCTGTAGAGACTGCTGCGCTAACGCTGAACTGAAACTTAACATTTGAACGAACTCGGAGTGGAGATTTCTAGTTTCCAGGTAGCGTTTTCGCCAGAAGGCTAGCAACCCCCCAGCGATATGACTGTCTCGCTAAACCGATGCGTGCTATATATAAACACCGACCGTGCGAACTTAAACTAATTTCTCACGAGTCATGGAGAGAGAATCCTTGAAGACAAAGTTTTTGCGATTTTTTAGCCCCCGACTTTTGTTTTTAAAGGTCTCAGACGTCTAACCCCATGTGTCTGTTGTGTTTAACTGTAAAAATTATATATTCAGCAGCAAAGTATTTGACTATCTCGTTAAGTAGCTTAAAATAGGTAAGGGGGGGGGGGGTGGGGGGAGGGGGGGTGGGGAGAAACCCGTCCTCGTCTTTTGTTGTTGTTGTGGGAAAGAGGAAGTAAAAACACTCTACATCGAGGTCGTTTATAGACTTGGGTACTGTATAGTACGCTATGTGGAACCAGTGGCGTGTTAAACCTGATGTTAGTGTGGCGTGCGTCCGTTTACAAGCTGGGTTAAGGTGATCGCACAACGGTTCAACATTTGGTTGTATTAAATGGCCTTTAAAAGAATGATACTCATTTGTAGATGGTTAAGTGCGGGGGCGAAATAAATATAAATATTTTATTAACATTTAGAACTTTAAATGGGCATGGACTGAAATAAAAAATAAGGTACATTTTAATTTGTTTTTTTAATTTAATATATATATATATATATATATATATATCCCAACTCAATTAATATTCGTGAAACCGGAGTGCCTGCCATTGTACTGAGTTCTCACCATTGTACGGAGTGCCTCCCATTGAATTGAGTGCCTGTCATTGTTCTGCGTGCATGTGATTGTACTGAGTGCCTGTCGTTGTACAGTGTGTCTGCCCTTGTACTGAATGCCTGCTATTGTACTGAGTGCCTGTCATTGTATAGAGTATCTCCCATTTTACGGAATGCCTGCCATGGTACGTGCACCCTGCCGTTGTACAGAGTGCCTGTCGTTGTACGCAGTGCCTGCCATTGTATGGAATGCATGTCACTGTACAGAATGTCATTGCACGGAGTGCCTGCCATTGTATGGAGGATTGCCTGCTATTGATCTAAGGTTGTGTTTAAAAAAAAAGTGCCTTTTATTTTCAAATACAAAATTAAAATCCATAGATTTAAATTGGCCTCTCCGTCAACGTATTAATTTTGCTTTAAATTAATCAAAACTGAAAGCCACTGAAACTGGACGCAATCAATACTGAAAGCCACTGAAACTGGACGCAATCAATACTGAAAGCCACTGAAACTGGAAGCAATCAATACTGAAAGCCACTGAAACTGGAAGCAATCAAAACTGAAAGCCACTGAAACTGGAAGCAATTAAAACTGAAAGCCACTGAAACTGGACGCAATCAATACTGAAAGCCACTGAAACTGGAAGCAATCAATACTGAAAGCCACTGAAACTGGAAGCAATCAAGCATGCCCCAAATCGAGTCAAGTTATACAAACTATTGTTTTTGTTTGTTTTGTTTGTTGTTTTTTTAATTTTAAAAATGTTTCTCCACCAGTCCTCCATGGAGTCTATGATAACGCTTTGAGAACACCGCTACGTGGCTTTGGTGAACACCTGCCGCACCAAATCAAACGCTTAAATCAAAATTTTAATTTAGCTTCTAAACGTAATGGACAAGGCGTCCTCAAAACTTTCGGGTTAGGGCTTAGTGAAGTATAAAACCCTCCCCCTTCCCCCCCCCCCCACCCGCACCCTTACTTTACGTTGTTTCAGCTTGTCAAAAGAATGTATTGGTGTGCTAATGGGATTGTATTTTTTTTAGGTTCCATGAATTTTCTTATTTTTACTCGCTGAAAATTGTAAGTGTATTTCTGATTTTGGAATGCATATGTATATTTTTTGTATGTGTATGTTTGTTGTGTGTGTATGTTTTGCATTTCTGTTGTGTGTATATGTTTTTGTGTGTGTTTGTTGGCTGTATGTGTGTATACGTTTTTGTATGTCTGTTGTGTGCATATGTTCTTGTATATGTATGTCTGTTTTGGTACCGTTATATTGAGTGGCGCAAGGAAGGGGCGGAGGGTTTGGTCCGCCCCCGGTGGCACTTGTTTCTTCTTACTGGGGGGTGGTATTATCGGCTAAAAGTAGAGCTATTATCATAGAAACGACGAAGGTGGAATTTCTCTTTACCCCACCCTAGTGACGATAGCTCTATCTACGCCGCTGATGAGATTGGAAAATCTAGTCCTCCAAACAATAATATTTCTTCTATCAAACCTTTCGTGATGTGTGTGTAATTTATCTTAAAAAATTTGTTTTTTAAAAAAATGATTGACTTGGATATCACGTGTGTAGTGAGTTTAGATAAAACAATTGTCTTACTGTTCAAGCGAAATTTTAAGTTCTCACCAATGAATTTTGTAGAACCGATTTTTTTTTTTATAGTTAGAAGCAAGTCACAGGATCTAATGATGCATTCAGATTTCTCTCCTATGATGCAACAGTCGACTACCGAGTGTCAAACAGTGAGACAGAAATTTCTTGAACTTATAGACAGGGGACGAATTCTCGGTCTCTCCGATGAAGAAATCTGCAACAGTTTTGAGAACGCGGGAAAGTCGAAATCGCCAAGTGAACAGCATCCGGGAGTTAGCAGACGATACCGCCTCAAAGTAAAACAAAAGCTTTTCAGTATTAAGACGTTGACTTGTGTCATCGTTGGTTTTCTTGCCTGTAGAGTGTACAGGGCGACTCAGGGGAAATCGCTAACGCAATTGATCTACGGGAGTAGGTGCATTTATCCCGCCAACATTCTCTTAGCGATGGTCGGGCCGTTGAATTCTTGTGACAACTGCAAGGATCTAACCGATGTGCCAACTTATCTCGGTGAAATAACCGTAAAAGAGTTATTTGCTAGATACGCCGTCACGGATGTCCCGGTGATCATGAGGGGCGCCGCGAAAAACTGGAGCGCCCTGACCACTTTTAGGTACGTTGTTAAGATCATCGTCCTCGGTGGCGCAAAACCTTAGCTGATGTAAGTCCTTGTCTAAATCGTCAATCTGTCTTAAACTTGTTTGGCCGGTGAGCGGCCTGTCCCTAGGTTTATGCCTGTAGTTCACTCTTGCTGCTCTACAGTCCAACATCCTCTCAAGAAGTCCTGCCTAGATCAGTCTGTCATTTTTTTTTTAAAGCAAAAGTCCATCTTTAAATGTCCGTCCGTTTTTTTTTAGTACATAATTTAGCCTCCGAGCTTGGCCCATTTTACGGGACAGGGTCGTAAGCCTCTGCACAACTGTCTGGGAAAGCCTCTTGCAACTCTCGTGGGAGCTGTCTTTGTTTTGTGTCTGGCCCCTACCCCTCTGCAACCATCGCTTTTTCATATCAGTGCAAAACAAATAAAACATGACATCAAAACACAATACTAAAAATAGGCTGACGAAAAAAAGCACAGATTTTGTAAATTTGTTCAGCCTTTGTTTTCATTTTAGGCCCCCTAGTGTGTAAGTACATATATATCTCTGTATCCCGTTTTTACATAGTACATATATTACTTTGTAAATCTAGCTATCAGTATCTCAAACAACTCTACGAAGGAAGGAACAGCCCCCTGCTTAACGATATAGCAGACTGTCAGTTTCACAAGTACTCGGATTTCCAATCCCTTCCTGACCTATTAAATATGTCCAGTGAGAGGGCCGCTTTCAAGGATGGCGAAAGCTGGTGGTACACCGGATGGTAAGCGTAGTGAATATATGATACAGCTTGACAACAGCTACAACAGGTGCACTTTAATTTTTAAAAAATATACATACATACATTTGAATGAGTTCTTTATTTTTAAAATCCTTTTTATCAACTTCGCTTTTGTTTATGGGCTGGCTGGCGAAATCTTCGGACGGCTTAGTGACCCACTTCCCGTCAACCAATCGAGCGGAAACTGTTCAAATAGACACGTTGCCGATGACACCCGCATTCTATCAAATTTTCAGAACCATCTCCACCCCCCCCCAACCCGAAAAGCAGTTTTACCTCTTTTTTTCAAGGAAGGAAATGCGATGCTTCTGGTTTTACGAAATAATATTCCGGATAACTACGCCAAATCAGAATCTTTTTTTGTAATAAATAATTGGCAATTGCGTTTGGTTCGTTGTGCTTGCTTTTGTTTTTCTGAAGTATTTGGCTGCGAACCTTGGAGAAAGGGGGCAGTAATTGGGATTTGTATAAAGTGCATTACTTGTATGCTTGTTTTTGGTCAAATGTCCAGCACCACCCCCTATTGCTCTATTGTATTTTATAAAAGATGTATATGAAGTACCTTGTTTTATTTTAAGAGTTTTTTAAAATTGTCTTTAAAGTAAATCTTATTCAACTTTTAAAAGAAGTCGCAAGTGACGTAGGTAGCGTGCAATGAAATCCAAAGATGAACTATAAAATGTATGACCGATAATCTGACAAGGCCAGAGGCATTATCAGATGAAACAGTTCACCATTTTTTTTTTAACTCTCTCGATGAAACTGTTCACAGTTCTTCCTAAAGCTGACTCATCCCATTTTTTTTTAGGACCGTGTGTGACCCTTACGTGGACGCACAGCTGAGGAGACACTTTGAGATTCCCCGCTGCGTCAAGGCGCTCGACTCCCAGAAGCACATGCTTTGGGTATTCATCGGGTCGGCCGGTCAAGCTTCTCCAACACACGTGAGTAGTTTCAATCGACAGCTACGATGTACAATATTGTGAATAGTTTCAACTAAATGCTATGAACTACAATAGTGTGAATAGTTCCAACCAAATGTTTTGAACTACAATAGTGTGAATAGTTCCAACCAAATGTTTTGAACTAAAATAGTGTGAATAGTTGCAACCAAATGTAGTGAACTACAATAGTGTGAATAGTTTCAACCAAATGTTTTGAACATTATTTTGAGTACTTTATGAAAGAATGTTACCGTAGCTGTTATTGAAATGACCTATGTTGACAGCCTTTGAATCCACTAGTGTGAAATGACCACAAAATGATGGCATATCACAGAAAGAGAGTAACAAGTGCAAGACTTGAAGAATAGTGTGATATGCAGAATCACTCAATACCAGACCCGTCACGAGACTGTCGGCACCCACCCCCCCTCCCCCCCCCCCCCCCCCCCCCGTGCCCTTTTCAGTTTTTGGCCCCTTTATTCAAAGTTCATCGTTTTATTTTCGTTCGCAGTTTGTTTTCTTTTAAAATAAAAAAATCAACGTTAACATCATTCTAATTAAATTCCGTCTTTAAATGTGTCATCATTCCCAGCTGGACGCTGTCAAGTTACCGTCCTGGCAAGCTCAGATCGTCGGGAAGAAAACGTGGACGCTGATCCCGAGTCCCGAATGTGAAAGTGTCTGCGAGACTTTCTCAGTCACCTTAGAACCAGGGGACCTTCGTAAGGTTTTATTTGAATATTTTTTTTTAAAGGTTTACTTAATAAACGCGATTGTTTTAAAATATTAATCATAAAATGTAACTACATTTTTTTTTTTAAAACATCAGTCAAACAAAGCCATCAGAAAACAACATGTGATGGGATTCCGTAGATTGCACTACGTGTGTATGGGATGAAAGGGCTCGATTAATACCCAAGAGGGCTGATGGGGAGCCCTGGGCATTGTCACGCTTGCACGAAAAGAAAATTCAAAAGGTCTTGGTGGTATCAGTCTTCTGGTTGCGGCCGGAAGACTTAGTTAGAGTTAGTGGCGCAGGAAGAAGGGTGCGGAAGGGGCGGTCACTCTCGGATGGCGCTTTTTTTGTTTAGATGAAAGGCAGGGATCTTCGGCCAACTGCTGAGTTTGTTTTGTTTTTCATAGAAGTGGGGCGTCACAAATCTTGACACTCCCTTGGTGGCGCTAACCTCAGCTACGTCACTCCTATAGAGGACTTACATCATCATGTTGTCTTAACAGCTAGGACTGTTTTGTATGCCCTAAATAATCAAATTTTTTATCATTTAGTTGTGTCGATTGAGGATGATTCTTCCTCTCAATATTATCATAAAGCATGACCACTTGCTATATACTATGCCCAGGGCTGTGAAAAGGGGCCTCTACCCCTGGTGCCAAAATCGTCAATATATACTCACCTAAAATGGTTAAAGATCATTTATTGATGTTTAGGGGGGCATTTTTCATTTATTATCCAGTGCGCCAGCTTTCCTTTGCATGGTCATGACTTTGCTATGTCTATAGCAGGGGCACTTTGCATGGTCATGACTTTGCAATGTCTATAGCAGGGGCACTTTGCATGGTCATGACTTTGCAATGTCTATAGCAGGGGCACTTTGCATGGTCATGACTTTGCTATGTCTATAGCAGGGGCACTTTGCATGGTCATGACTTTGCTATGTCTATAGCAGGGGCACTTTGCATGGTCATGACTTTGCTATGTCTATAGCAGGGGCACCCCTCTCGATTTCAGACATATATCCAGCACGACTTCTCCCCCCAACCATTTTATGGAATTAAAACCTGATTTTATGGGACTCCTGCACCCCTAACACTACCCCCGGCACCCCAACTTGGTGTGGGCAAGCCTAGATTAAGAATCCCTGGTTTATAAATAATAACGGATTGTTTAAACGACGACAAAGGCCCTTAAAATTATTTCTAAATTTTTTTAATGATTTAAGTTTTAGAAAATGTATATAAACCACGGTCGGTTTTTACCATTACACTAACTTTGTGTAAGCTCTGTCTTGTAAATTTAGAATGAGTGTGAATAAATATATTATGTATTTAAAAAGCACAATTAGATAATGCAATTGTGAATAATAGCTATAACATCCTCCAGTTTTGCGCCATTTTTAGGTGCGAGTTCGAGAGGGTGTATCGAGTGTGTGTGATCTCATGTGGGTATGAACATTTTATATGTGTATGTATAAAGTATTTCTCTTACACCGTTCGAACAATCGTTTTTCAGTGATCATCAACACGGACGTCTGGTACCATTCAACGTACGTTTGGCCTGGTGACATCAGCATCTCTTTAGCCTCGGAGTTCGATCCTATGGCTAATTATTATGAGCACACACAGTGAGTGGCGGCAATGAACGGGTGGGGGTCAAGGTCGTTTCAATGAAAGAGACAGGCAAATTAAAACATTTTCAGACCTGGCTACCGAGTCAAATTGATTTCTTTTAGTACTTTAACCACACCCTCCCCTGAAATTTGTATAATATGTTAAAAGTAATTTTAAAAAAACAGGGTGGTCTGCTGGTCTTAGCTGAGTCAATCTCAAAGCTAGTTAACTTGTTTTGAAACACAAAATGATTCGTTCGATGATTTTTTTCTTTTAATTAATGGTGGAGTGGGGTTGGGGCTACTTTGTTCTGCCATCAAATCCATAACAGTCATGCCAGATTGGAGCTGAGTTGTTGTTTTCTTTAAGTCACTTTATTTTTGTTGTTGATTATATTTTAATATATAAAATTAAAAAATCTATAGATTTCAATTTGGCCTTTTATTGTATTTTAAAAATGGGGAGTTCAGTCTGACAATAAATTAGGTGGCTGCACAATCCCAATCTTTTGTTTTTTGGGATTTATAAAAAAAAAAATGGAATATCTCACATGAATTCCTTAGGGCTAAAGGACTGAAAATATATGTTGATGTTAATGCTATTTTTACCCCTCTGGCATTACTAAACAGTTTGAAATAAATCTTTTATTCAACATCCTGAGCCATAAATTGTAGCGCCATATTTTGTTTTTTTTTTCTTTCTCGATCGTACACCATATTAAAAGATTGCATAATTTCTGAAACTGCATTGATCTTCAGATTGAATTTTTTTTTATAAACAATATGAAGCTGTTCAATTTTTTTGCCGCCACTTTCCTTGAGCATATTTTATGTCTAATTTATCTAAATTTTTCTTTTAAAATATTTCATTTTGTGGTTTTTTTTTTTTGTTTTTTTTTTTTTTTTTTTGGTTTTTTTGTTTAATTTTTAATATTTTTTTTTTTATTTTATTTATTTTTTTTTTTTAATCTTTTTTATTTTTTTTTTTTTTTTTTTTTTTTTTTTCTTTTTTTTTTTTTTTTTTTTATTTTTTTTAATTTTTTTTTTTAAATTTTTTTTTTTTTTGTTTTTTTTTTTTTTTTTTTTTTTTTTTTGTGTAGGATTTGTTGTATAAATTATAATAGTTTTGTTCTTACTTTCGCTACTATTCCTATTAGGCTGTTTATGTTTAAATTCATGTTGAACTATTGTAAAAGTAGTGATTTGTGTTGAATGTGCTCTCATGAGACCCAGTAAAAATACAAATTGATGTGCAAATTGTAATTCATTTGATTATACCTAGAACTTGATTTTTAAAAAAGTAGTATGTATTTAGCTAACAATCAATGCGCCTAAATTATTAGTAAAGTTTTCTGACAGAAAAAAAGGCTGGATTTGTAATCCTTTAAAGTTTGATTGTAGGCAAATAAAATTAGCAGGTCAAATTTTAAAATCTCACTCGTACAAATAAAGGGCAAGACACCTTTATATTTAAAAAAAAAGAAACACATTTTTCAATATATGTTTTTAGATTGAATTTATTGTTTCAAGAAGGTTTTTATTAATTTGACATTTAGATTTTAACGCAAAAGGCACTGTTACATACGATCATACGATTTGCAAATTGATTAGCTTTGATATTAGGCTCCTTTCTTCAACAATACGTAAGATAGGAATGAGAACCAGTGTACAACGAAAAAAAATACCAAAGCTAGTAGTATTAATAATATTCAATTTATTTTTCTTTACAAAATAAATATAAAGCAGCGAAAATTATATTAACTTACAGCACAGCAGGTGAAAAATTATAATACAAGAATTTTAAACCAGACAAACATAATGAAAAAATCTGGTAAGTATGGTAAATTTTGCGTGTTTAGGATATCTAGCCAATCTCTTCCTGCTGGGAAATCTGCCAGCATACTTATAGGGAGTAAGTTGGAACCTTCCAGAAAATGTTGTTGTTTTTTTTTTCATCCAAGCTTATTCTTTGACCGTCCATTTAGAATCAACCTCCCATTTAGTATCTACCTTCGATTTAGAATCTACCTTCCATTTAGAATCTACCTTCCATTTAGGATCTACCCTCCATTTAAATAAATTCGAACGATAACAAAATTTACCAATCAAGGGAGGGGTGAGTAGTGGAAGAGCGCTACACATTTCATCGAGGACGCCAATATCAAAACAAAAATAAAGGGGGATGAGATAAGTGTTGGATGCTACAGATATACGTTTAAACAAAATTAGCACATCACATGGATTATGACACTGCACTTGTAGCGCTTTCCTTATTTGTTATATTAAATTAAGATGCAGGTCTTCTCGTGATATTTTCAATAACAGAATCATAAACTTGCTATCCTTTTGAATTGAAATTTCGTTCAATTTTTTTTTTTAAACAGCATGTGCGTTAATTTATTATTTAAAGGAATAAATAAACCAACATTTTTTTATGCTGGTTTTCATTGTAATTTTTTTAAATGAAATTAGTTAAGACTTTTTATGTGTTCATTCTTAAGACAATAGTTGCATTTACAAAGATTTGTTGAAAATCTGCTTCTTAGCTTGATACTTTTATTAATTCATTTTTCCTTTGTAATGTAATATGAACACACACAAACCTTTAAAAGACTCATGATTTCGCTTTTATAAATTTCACGACTTTGCCAAGGTTCATTCAAATACAAAATTGGGGAATATAAACTTCTAATTTGATTTGGTTTGTAAGATAAAGCTACGAACTCTATTTTTTTTTCTTAATGGGGAAGGTTCATGAAATAAAATAATCATGAAAAATTAGCTATTTAAAAAAAAATGCAAAAGGAATTAATAGTCGAATAGGCCCCAATCCTCAGTCTTTTAGTCAGAATCTTCGTTAAAAAATAAGAAAGTAATTATTTATAATTCTGTCAGGTTTAAATAGTACCTATGGCTTTAATTTCAGTTGAAAGTTACTACTTAAAAATCATAAACTCAAAACAATCTTTTTCAAGACGTCAATAATTTGGGGATTCTAAATCATGAATTTATACGTCGGGAAGCGAAAGTTGTTCACAAATTATTATTTTATTAATTTTTTTTTTTGAGAATTTAATTATTTAACAGTCAACACCTTTCAAAAAGCCACTGTAAAGATTAATTACTAGTTTTGTGTTCATAGTGTTTGGACTTCTAATTACTGCAGAAAAATTAATTTAACTACACACCAAAATTTGATTTTAACCACTTTTTTAAAAATTCCATTATAAATAATGCTATGAGGTCCGCGAAATCTGATGTCTTCTCCTTGGCGTCGTTGTAATCTTCTTGAACTTTCTCCGTCTTCTTCTTCAGATCATTAGCCATATTTTCTATTTTATTTTCCATATCATCGAATGTTTGTTCAGGTCCCGCATTAGTTTGTGGATCTATCTTTGTTACTTGTTCTGGAATTTCAGCTCTCAACGCCATGACGTTTCTCACTACAGAAATTTGATCTTCTACATTGTTTACAATACTGTCACAACTTTTGATGACTGAAATTAGACTGTTTGTTCCGTTATCTTGTTCCTCGACATTCTTTAACAAGAGTGAAGCCCTATCTTTAAGCCCTTCTAAAATGTCCATTTCTTTTTCCGGTTCTTTCAATTGAATTGATTCAAGTTTTTGTATAATCAGACTGGCCTCTTTCATGCTCTCCTCCTGGATGATTGGGAGTTTTGACTCCACAATCAACTTTTCACGTTGATGCTGAGCTTTCTTGAAATTGTCATTAGTGTACCTGAGGCCCTCTGTGCTGAGCTGATCGATCATGCCAATCAGCTGTTCAAGCTGTAGTTTTTTCTTATACGTATCTTTGCTTTTGTTGTCTAACAATATAACTCTATGACGACACTCTTCTACTAGATTTTTAATGGGTCCTTCCTGCTGACTGATCCATTCTGGGAAGGAACTCATTCTAGTTTCTTCAGGATCATAGAGATCTCCGTTTGTTACAATCAAAATTGTAAAATCGTGTAAAAATTCCTCACCGAACACATTTTTCATGACATCGATGACTTGTTTATCTTCTTCTGTGAAGCGTACCCCATATTTAACAACTAATAAAAATGCGTGGTATCCCATGGGGTTAGTAGCTATCGCATAGCTCATAGCTTCCAGAGTCAGTAAAAGAGCATTCTCTTTATTTAAGTCAGTATCTGCAAAACCTGGACTGTCAACGACTTTGATGGTACGACCGTTATATTCAGAATATTCAAATTGAACTGCTTTCGTGACTGAATTATAGCTCGGTGATGCTTTGAACACATTTCTACCCAAAATTGTGTTTCCAGTGGCGCTTTTCCCATTCCCCGTTTTCCCGATAAGAAGTAGGTCGAGGGGTCCTTTTACTTGAATCTCTTCCATTGTCTTGAAATGTAAAAACATGCTCACGGCAATGGCAATTGCCCCAATCATCACTGCTATCAATAGTTTTGACATTTTTGTGACCTATTTGCAAAAACAAAGGTAGATATTAAAAATAATGATATAAAGCTAAGTGACTTCCTGCAACTTCACATGCAATCATCCCAAGTCTACATAGGTTTGCGAAAATTACTTCCCGAAATTGAATTTCTATACGCCTTAGCTTTATTAAATATACATTTTGAGAATTCAAAGAAAAAATTACTTAAGTTAGCTGTTGCCCGTCACAAAAACGTGCGGTTTTTATAAAAAAAATTGGATTTAAATTAAACAAATTTCGGTTACTTTCTAAAAATAGCACAATCTTATCATAAGTAGCTGTTGCATTTCAGTTTATAATCAATATTCAGTCAATCAACCAATTCTAGGGATGCAATCGATATTGGGCGTGTGACACACGCTTCGTCTGCACTCAGGCGTTACACCAAAACGTGTTACACTAACAGGCGTTACACCAAAACGTGTTACACTAACAGGCGTTACACTCACAAGTAACATATATCATACCGGTTTCAAATTTACATTTTTCATGTTTATTTATCCACATTGAAACAATTTATAGCTAGACACCTATTTTCCATTTGAGTTAATAAGCTTAATGATAACATACTAATACTAATAGTAATGATAACTGAAGTTAAGGAATAGTAATGGGGAAGATTGCGAAGATGATTAAGCAGTTGTAACTAAGAAACACGAGGGAGATTAAATCCTGAGAGTATGCAAACAAACAAAACGGAAGAAAGAAAGAAAAGAATGAAAGGACGAAAGAAAGAAAAAAAGAAAGAAAGAAAGAAAAACGAAAGAAAGAAAGAAAGAAAGAAAGAAAGAAAGAAAGAAAGAAAGAAAGAAAGAAAGAAAGAAAGAAAGAAAGAAAGAAAGAAAGAAAGAAAGAAAGAAAGAAAGAAAGAAACAAAGAAAGAAAGAAAGAAAGAAAGAAAGAAAGAAAGAACTGAAAGAAAGAAAGAAAGAAAGACAACAAAAAAAAAGAGAATGGGGAAATACATATACAATGTTAATAGAATTAATGTATTCATACCTCAAAAAAAGTTCCACTTTCAATATCTATAGTTTACAGAGTTAAACGATAGAGCTAGGGCAGCTATATGACAATCTCAATATACAATACAACTACAACTTTTCCCGACCAGCGTCTGGGCAAGTAATGCAAAACTGAAAATGGGAATTTTACAATTCTTGGAAGTTCCAAGGCTGCGGTTACGAGTGACCTCAAACTTGTGAATCATGGGGCCGTTTTTCTGACCATCAGATATTGTTGAGGGCCGCACTTTAGTTATAAAAATATACATATGAATTCCTATGCACACTGCATACGTCTCATACGAATTATAAAATAAAATGTTTAAATGAAGAATATGTTTAATCCGCATAAAGCTATCAATATGACAATGAGTAGTGTGGGCCTGATTTTGACTAAACGGATTGTCAAAGTCCGGTTCCATATTTTTCGCTGCTCGCCGGGTACCCATAGGCCTGCAATAGTTTGAGGACCCTATTGGTTTTATAATGAAAGGGGGTATTCCCAAATAAAGGGTAATGCATCTAAATAATTTTAAGGGCTGATCGCAGGACCTATGAGAGTAGGCATCCCCAGGGGGCATATGTTCGCCCTCCGCGTGCAGTGATGGCCAAGGCTAAATTGTGAGTGGTAGCCTTCATAGGCGAGGGAGAATTTCTCGCCTCTTCAGACTCACTCCCTCAGCCGTACCCTTTCCTATTTGAACCAGTGGCAAGACTTAGTCGAGATGACTGCAAATTTAAATGCTAATCGAAGCATCCACTAAGTGTTGGCTTAATTCACACCATGAAATGCTAATAAATTATAACAAAATTATGTTCATATCCTTTATATTTCTTATCTTTTTTTAAAATCGATTTCTGTGTCAATGTAATGAAGAACGAATAAGTTTACTTACAGGCCGGCGGTAGATTTGCCATGCAACCGTGATCTAAATTAATGGGAAGCGTTTCAATCGAAAATTCAGGTTAAAAAATTAACCGATTTCATTCTGCAAAGTGCGATCACTTTAAACCCCATATGAACGTTATTAAATGATCAGCAAATGCATGTAAGGGAAATAAATACCAATTCATTTCCAAACATGTTGCCCGTTAATAAATGCTTAACATTCATCATTGAAAATTATCCCTCCTCGTCTCTGAAGTAATTCATGTCACTTATAAACAAGGTGCACTCAATACAAACTACGTACAACCTGCTACCTGAGACACAGTTGAATCAATCCTTATTGTGTGCACCCTGTCAAATGTAAAGACAAAGTAGACCAAGGTTTCCCACATGCCTAGACATGGCCAACGTAACCTTATAAACCCAAGTTGATCATTCCTGGGGTATGGCCTACACTACCTTAGTGGCTGTCAAGCATCACATGATCTCCCAGGCAAAGAAAGCTTGAACTTTAATATGTAACCCAACACATAAAACAATGAGATTTGGTAAACAGGCGACACGTTCACATGTATTTATTTTATTTTTTAAATACCGCACTTGAAATTATAAACGTTCGCAATATCAAATAGAGATTGAATATCCCAATATCAGACGCTTTTAGGGAGGCTTTGTGGGGTTCAAGATTTTACTATGAAATTATTAAATTAACGGTAAAAAGGAAATAAAACAGTAAATTCGTATTAACTATCTTTTAACAAAATGTCTGAAATTTTTTTTTTTTTTTTTTTTTTTTTTTAATTAATTTTTTACAAAATTTCTGAAATTTTTTTTTTTTTTTTTTTTTTGCTAAATAAATTGTATTCATTTGAAAAATATCTAGATCCCCTTGATAATTCATTGATTTTATCTTTATGGTGTACATGATTTTGATTTCAAATAGAGAAAAACTACAGAATCTGGTCCAGACGCTGCTAATACGAAGCTGCGCCACAGACAAAACAAACTCCCCCCAATGCCACGCCTTTACGAATAATTTATAAATGTATGAACATGGCATGAATAATAACGTCATTAATTAAGTCGCAGGGGGGCCTACGCCCCTTTAACGCCCCAATTTTAACGGCCCGTCATCGGGTATCAAACATACCTGCTCAGTGTCAACATTTTGGGGAGCGCTGAGCGAAGTGCGGCACGTTTAAGTGGTTAAACGCAACGGACCCATGTTATCCTTTTTGGGGGAAAAAAATGGCGTCATGGCCGTGAACCTCCACACTGTGACTTTAGGGACAAGACTGTATAACTATCTAATCTGAAAAATATGATTGATTTGATCCTCGCCATACGGTTAAAGAAATAGTTTGACGTCTGCACAGCTGCAGCTCTGCACGGTGGTGTGTGACCACAGGGTATTGATCCAGCGGCATTTGTTGGGGCACGCCTGATTTCTTGTGGAAAACACAACTACACAGATGCAACTTCCAAGAATCATAACGTGTTCGGCCTGAGTCGTGCATCATTGACGGTGTCTGAACTAGGTCTTTAAGATTTTGAAATCTGTTCCTACACATCCGTTGCGATTGTGTTACATTTGTTTTTTTTCTAATAAAGAGATCTGGTACAATTTCTATAAAGGTATGACAATGTATATCGATTTAATAGTATTCTTTAAGGGATCTGTTTGTCTGTCTACGTGCCCGCACGTTTTTCTATCTGTCGGCCGGTCTGTCTATCTATCACTACACGTAATTTTTTCGTATGTCTATCTGGGAAAATGAGCGACATCCAGATCATATTACCTTGAAGTTCTATGAAAATTAGGTTAGTATTTGTAAAATATATTTATTTATTTTTTGTGTATGTTTGCTTTTGGGCTTAGGGCTAAAGAATAATCAATCTAATTGTGTACATATATCTCTTTCCCTCCCACATGGCCTAATATATCATTTCTCTTAACCTTATATTGGTATGCTTTTTACGTACATTATTATTCCTGGCGGTAAATCCTCTCTCTTCTTTGTGTTAATTGTAATAATGTATGCCCATTGTACAAAGGTTTTTAATGCTCAAAACAGATGTCTTATTCGTCTTTCGTTTTCTCAGGGATCATTTGACGAGCAGGGCTGAAATGGAGAAAAATATTATGGCCACCATCTTTTTTATCCTTGTCGCAGCGAGCCACGTGCTCATGTCTGACAAAAATAAAGACATTGACCTTGTCATTATTGGGAAAACCGGAAACGGCAAAAGCGCGACCGGAAACACGATTTTGGGAAAGAAGAGTTTTGTCACTTCGCCAAATTCTAAATCCGTGACGAAGACCGCCCAGTTCGATTACTCCGAATATAACAATCGAATCATCAAAGTCGTAGATAGCCCGGGCATATTCGATACCGATCTTAGCAAGGAAGACGGTTTGAAATTATTCATCGACGCTATCCACAACGCCATAGCCCTTAACCCAGAGGGTTACCACGCGTTTCTATTGGTTGTTCGTTTTGGTTCTCGATTCACCGAGGAAGACCAAAAAACAGTTTATTTCCTGAAGAAGATATTCGGCGAAGATTTCTTCAGTAAGTTCGTTATTATGGTGGTTACCTACGGAGACAACTACGATGCGGAAGAAACTGGAGTCGCTCGGTTCTCTGACTGGGTCAAAACGCAAGGAGGTTCTTTGAAAAATTTAGTAGATGAATGCGGTGGCAGGGTGATATTATTTGATAACAAATGTAAAGACGAGGTCAAGAAAAAAACACAGGTTGACCAGCTGTTGACCATGGTGGATAGACTCAGCGTCCTGGGGCTGAGGTATACCAACAGCCATTTCAAGATGGCCCTTGACGAGCGTGAGAAAATGATGGTGGAGAATATCCTGCCCATGATCCGGGAGGAAAGCTTGAGGGAGGCCAGCTTAATCTTGGAACAACTTGGTCAGGTTCAAGCACATGAACCAAAGAAACGTTTGGACATTCTGGAGGCTCTGGAATCTAGGGCCGGTGCATTACTTGAGGGCATCATAGAACAAGACAAGGGCACTGGTGCCCTGGACGCATTAATTGAAAATGCTCAGCACATAGTGCAGAATGTTGGAGACCAAATGCATGCAGCGAACGAAGCATTAGAGCTCCAAGCCAACAAGGTTAAAACGAAGAAGAAAATTAAAGACCTGAAAGAAACTAGAGACCACGCACGAAAAGATAACAACTTTCAACTAGCCGCCGATCTGAAAGAGAAAATAGACTATCTTGAGAGGGCATTCGCGGACCAAGATGAAACTGACAGGCTGAGGTCTCAAGATTTAAAAGTTGCCTATGAGAGGGCTTTGGGGGAGTTTAAAAGCGCAAAGGAAGAGTCAGCTTGGGCAATGATAAAGTCTTTTGGTCGAGGCCTTTTGAATAATTTATATTATATTTTATCGTTTGGCTTTCTCAGAGACCTATAATATAATTATGTCTTAGCAATGATTATTTTTTTTTAGGTTTAGCTGTGTTTTTTATTCAGTATAAATATTGATCAAGATTTCTGTAATGATGTCTCATTTCAATTGTATTCTAATGATAATTCATTGAATAGTAATTTTAGACTTTTTTATTTGTTCTTTTCAACTTCTGAGTTATACTTCTTTCAATAAACTACATAACGTTTTGCAGAGATAAAACACACCTTCCATTTTTTTATTTTCATTGTATATGATCCACTGCTGGCTGACCTCAATGCAATATTTTCCGATAAATCTGTATAGAAGTTGAAAATTTGCATTGTATATCTCCGTCAAATAAGAGTGTAAGAAAGATAGAAATTCAATATTGAAAAAAAAAATTGACTTAAAATTTATAATGAAAGGTTTAAAGAAAGGTGTAGTTTTCAACACACAAAAAAACGATTTATCATCCTTCTTGGCTTGCATCTCTAGTGCTTCATGCATATGGTCACCATTAAAAACTATTTAGAATTCTCACAATTCTAAGCATTGGTAGAGAGCTTTTTAGTAGTGAAAGAAGAAATTTAGTTTCTTTACCTTTGCTACAGCATAACCAAGTATGGTGTATGGCTTGTTTTTTCTCTTGAAGTTGAGCTATTTTAGCATCCACAAATGTCTCGTGAGTGTGGTCTTGATGTTGACGTCAGCATGTAAAGTTGATGTGTTGCGCCTTCCTTGTTTTTGCTGTGTTGCGCCTTCCTTGTTTGCACTTTTTTGACTTGGAAAAGGTTGTTTTTCACATTCGAATGCATTTTAATTATTCTAAAGAATGCGATTAGAAGACGCAATGTCTAGAATATCTATACTAAAACGTTTTAAGTTGGTTTATAAATAGGCTGCGTGCATACTTAGCAGAGAGACTAAGATAAACTGGGAGAGATATATAAAGAGAGTGAGATTTTTACTATAAGACACAATGTATATAATTGTGTGTTTAAAATAATATATTTTTTATTTATTTGGAGGAGTGTTCCTTTTCCACTTGCTGTAAATTTTTTGCTCTGTTTTTTCTGAACTATAATTTTTCTTTCTATAGAAATGTATTTGTATACTTAAATTAAATATTGTGTTATTATTACACGCTTTGGTATTGTTTTCTTTGCATACCGTTTTTCTCAGTCTCTTATAGGTATAATTTACCAAACAAGCCAAATTTTAGCACATACTTTATCTTCAACACCATATGCAACATCCTTGATTAGATGCTGCAAGTGTTGTTTTTGCATATCTTTTTTAAATCAGCTTATGGATCTATATTGTCAAGCATATAATTGTAAAAAATATGTTACTTTGAGATTTAAAAAATGGTATATTTTCTTATGAATTTGAAAATCAAGGGTTAATTTAAATAATATCTTCACCCTGCAATTAAAAATTATATCATATAGCTTCAGTATTTATCACTGAGGATCACCTGTTATATTTTTAATGTACACTTATATGTTGCAAAGAAAACGCAATAAATATATCTTGTCAGTTATTTGTTATTTGTTTTTATTATCATTCATCAATGAGCTTCAGAAAAATTTAAAACAATGTTTTAACTCTGTAGGTAATTTTTTTTTTGAAAGGACACCATATTACAATTGTGAATCTTAATTAAAGTAAACTTGAACCCAGTGACATCAATATATTGTGTATGCAAGTCTTTAATGACAAATTATCCTTGAACAAGTTTATTCCGTTCATATAATCAATTGTTTCATCAAACCACCCATCTATCATTAATTTGAGGTGCAATCAGTTGTTATATCTCATAATTACTGTGTCATGTTTATATTTATGTCTTTATTTATGTGATGAATTTGATTTCATAGAATCTTTCATCGACTTATGTCCCTTGACAATCTTTATATACAATAGTTCTTCCTCATTATCTAAACAATTTAGTTCATAAATTATAAAATGATCTAATATTTCATTTTGTTTTCCTATTTAGACAATCATTAAACTAATATGGAGATAAAACTCTTCTGCACAATGGTATGCATTCTTTTAATGATACGTCACGTGCAAGTGGAACAAGCAAAACAAGATCTGGACCTGCTTCTTATTGGCAAAACCGGAAATGGCAAAAGCGCCACTGGAAACACAATTCTGGGTAGAAAGAGTTTTCAGACCTCCCCGAATTCTACATCAATGACAAAAGATGTCGATTTCGATTATACTGATCACGACGGTCGAATTATCAAGGTCGTGGATAGCCCTGGCATTGGAGACACTGACCTCAGCAAGGAGGAAGCCATCCTTACTTTCATCGATGCCATTGACTATGCAGTGGCTGCTAATCCTGATGGATACCATGCGTTCCTTCTGGTGGTCCGCTACGGTGGACGCTTCACTGAGGAAGACGTGCAGACCATCAAAGTCTTGAAACACATTTTCGGAGAGGACTTCGTGAAGAACTTTTGTATTTTGGTTGTAACCTACGGAGACATTTATGACCCCGAAGAAACTGGAATCGAACTGTTCTCTGAGTGGATCGATACGCAAGAAGGTTCGCTAAAAAATTTGACAGACGAATGCCAGGGAAGAGTTCTACTTTTTAACAACAAATGCAAAGACGATGTCAACAGAATTGAACAGGTCGACCAGCTGATTAAAATGGTTGATCAACTCAGTGGCCGCGGACAGAGGTACACCGGTGAGAAATTCTTAAAGGCCAAACATCTACGCGACACCATCTTGGTGGAAACCAAACTTCCCCTCATACGGGAAGAGAGCACCAGGGAAGCCAGATTGATCATACAACAGCTTCAAAAAATTCAGCAAAAAAATCCAGGAATACAATTGGAAAGTTTAGAATCCCTCAAAACCAGGGCGCACACGCTGCTGAAGAGCGTCGAGGCACAGGACAAATGCACCGGTGCTCTAGCAGAGGTGATACTTAATTGCAAGCACATTGTCAAGACAGTTGAAGACCAAGTCGTTGCTGTACGAGAAGCCATCAAGATACAAGCTGTAAGCGATGAACACAAGAAGACGATGCAGGAGTTGAAGGCTGCCAGAGAACGTGAACTGAAGAGGAATAATGCACTGCTTGTTGATGAAATGGATCGACAAATACAACATCTGAAGAGGGAGGTTGAAGAGCGTCAAAAAATGGTGATCACTCTGATGGAGACCTTAAAGAACCAGGCAAAGGAAGTTGATAATGAATATAGGAAAATAAGGCAAACATCCTCATGGGAACTTATCAAAATAATTTTCAGGCGAATATTTGGATATTAAAGTAAGAACTATTTGAATATTCGATCAAGCCTTGCATATATTGATATTAGGTAAAAATCCTGTTCCCTTTTTTCTTTTTTATTTGATGCTGTTTTAAGAGATAAACATATACTTCTACGAACAAAGTTGTATTTTGGATACTAAATAATATAACCCAAAATTATATTAGAAAGTAAATCTAGATGTTTAAAATATTATTTTTCATTCCTGGTACATATTACAGTTATCTTACATCCGTAATTGTTATAGGATCATATTAAGTGATATCATTTTAAAGCTTTTTTAGGTCAACCACATGAATGTAAATCACACAAATGTACACACCACCAATGTAGACCCCACCAACTTTAAACTTAATTGTGGACCAATTAAAAGCTGGCCATTCTTGTTACACACACACACACACACACACACACACACATAGACAATCAATTTCAGCATTATGGTACGGCAATACTAGCCTGCTAGGCACTGCTAAAAACACATTTGTTATATGTTACTTGATCCTCCACTGACGGCAGTAAAATCAAAACATAATTTTAGTAGCTTCGCACTGATATTTTGACTTGCATTGCATTTTTTAAAGCTCGTACAATTGCCAATGAATAACAGTTTTTTAGCTTCTAATTTTTTAAACTTTAAAACAAAACTCATCGGCATTTCTTTCAAACGTATATTTATTTACCTGAAAAACATATGAAACGATGTGCATCATTAGCCTGAGAAACTCTATGTAGAAGTTAGTGAGTTGTTTCAATTCTAAATCCTATATTATGTGTTTGCTAGTGTTATGTTCGGCGCGGTGAGCCCAGCCGTAGGCTGAGGTACCGCGCTATATAAGAGCATAAATAATAATAATAATAATAATAATATTAGATTGGCTTTTGTTGGGTTTTCTATAAAGGGCATTACTTAAATGCATTCTTTGTCAAATTTTCACCCAATCCCACATTGACCGCCCATTGTTTGAAAACGTTTTTTTAAAGGGTTATTTCATTTGGGAGGGGGGTGCAATTGTTTAGAGATGGGTACTTTTTTATTAAGAGTATACGGCAACATAATATATAAGCCAACATTTATACTATCAGCACTAATTACGAGTCTATTTATCTTTATTGAGTCAGTGTCGTAATTTTCATCATTCGGTGGGCGTCACTCCACCGCAACGCGTCACGCTGACCTGTGGGGATCCTGTTCAACCTACGGCTACAAGGTGCATCCGGTTTTTCTTTGGGGCTCGCCGAGTCAATTAAAAATCTACTTTTGAACAGCATTAACAAAAGTTTTAAGAACAACAACAACACACACACACACACACATACACACGCACGCACACACAGGTGTTAGCTCCTGGTTAAACTGATAAACGTTCCGTTATGTCAGTGAGGATCCATAGATGGTTGGGTTTCCTAACGTGGTATAAGCCACCTGGATCAGAACGACTCGATTGGGCCCGCCAACTAAGCTGACGATACAGGGGTTTCTCAATGGGGTTTTCAACCTGTTACTCGTGACCCCTTCAGTGTAGCCTGACAAAATCTAAGGGATTATCTGAAAACTTCGGAAATCGGATTCTTTTTTTATTAATAAGTAATAATGTGCAACATCTCATTTGAGCACCTTTCCATATTAAAATTTTAAAATCATTTACATAATCGGACTAGTTCCTTATTTTGAATTCACTGTGACTACACTGCGACAGTTCCAGTCATATCTCCCCCCCCCCCCCTTTTTTTTTTAATTTATC